CGGGCGCGTTTTTGACCTTATGGAAGCGTTGATTAAACAGGAGATTGAAGATACAGGTTGGTTAAGCGCTGTTGTCCCAAATCTCCAGACTAATATATTTATTTAGAGAATGAGTCTGAGATACTCCGTCGAAATTGTGTCGCTACTAAGATGCTCTCCATCTACGCGAGGTGGAAAGGGGCGAACTATCTCAAAGCTACCCTCCAAAAGGTTGTTGAGAGGTTGATGTTAACTTCAAAGGACTTGGATCTTGAGCTTGATCCAACAAGAATTTCATCCCAAGAAGAACTCCAAAAGAATGCGCTACAGCTACGCATTGTCGCCAAAGTTTTTATTGACGATATTTGCGCATCCTCCACCAGTATTCCTACGTCATTTAGGAAGATCTGTAGTATAGTAAGTTGACTCTTGTCGATATGTATAAGGTACCGCTATTGACATTCAGATAGATATCTTCAGCGGTGATGCCTAGGTTCCAAGAGGCTAAATATACGGCTGTTGGAGCCTTCATATTTCTCAGATTCTTCTGCCCTGCCATCGTCGCGCCCGAAGCAGAGAACCTGGTAGCCACGCCACCGTCCAAGGAGATGCGACGTGGTCTACTCCTAATCGCAAAAGTCATACAGAATCTAGCAAATAACGTCTTGTTCGGAGCAAAGGAGCCATATATGTATCCTCTAAACGATTTTTTGACGCAGAACATTTATCGTGTTACCACTTTTCTCAGGGAGATATCGGTAAGAATTGCCAAGCTCCTTACCTATTCCCATTCCTGCTAATAACGCTGCTATCCAGGTACCTCCGCCTGTTCTTGATACACGTCCAGCAGACGGCGAAACCTATGAGTTTGGCTCCTGTGTCGCTCTGCATAGGTTTTTATATGACCACTGGGACCATGTCCGGCAAAGACTCATGTCTCAGGAACGACGAGAGCATGTTCGCTCTCCCAACGAGTTAGTTCGTGGTCGAACACCCGTACTTGAACCCTTACGGGCTCTCGTAACAAATTTGGGACCACCTCCGTTAGCGGTTACTTGGAACCGCCCTCAAATATCTTCAAATACTCCACTATCTTACTCTAGGTTCCAGCATTTCATGCTTCGTAACGCTTTCCGGGGTACCGATTCCTTTGCGACATCTCGTGCCATCTATGACGGCGGCGAGAGTAGAGTATGTATATCGTGATTGACAGAACCTATTTGGTACTTGCTTAAGGCTAATGACTGAACAGGATGGGCTCTCTGTTATTTGTATAATTCTTCGCCATATCGATCAAGATTCCATAGATTATGATACCCTTTTGTATTGCTTCCTAAAAGTAAGTTCTAATCAAACCGATGCGTTCGGCTCTAATCAAAAAATTTCCTTCGCGCATCGGTTTCTTTATTCCTTCCCCTATTGTATGCTCCCTTGTCTAACCTATCCTAGATTGCGAGCCGGCTATGGCACAAACCATTTGGGTTATTAATCGACGCGACGTGTTATGATGGTCAAAATGATCCCCCGGACGAGCTGTTCAAAAAGTTGGATCTTCTTAGTCCGAGCGAATTGTCTGATCAACTTTCTAGGATTTATGTCTATAATATGAACAGCACATTCCGGTATGTTGATATTACACCATCGCGTATTCTGCATGCTAACGAAGCCAGGAAATGCTTCCGGCGTATACTTCGTATAGCCACGAAGAGTGATGCAAATGTATTAAATCCAGGCAACGTAGATTATCTACTACTTGGCAGCCGTCAAGATCTACAGTCACATTTCCACCTTAGTCAAGTTCACCTTCCGAAGGAGACCATCAGCATAGCCACCGATTCTCGATACACTTTCCAGCCGGTTACTCGGCTCTCGAAGACTAAAGGAAAGATTGAAGTCACAATTGGGGTCGGTGGCTCGTTTGTCCAAGTAACCACCGTGAAGAAACAGGAGGTTCATCCAACTTTTCGTCTAAACGGAATTGTGAACGACATTTTCCACCTCAAGGACCTGGATGAGGCGCCAACTTCTATTCCTACCGAGGATGACTCTGCGTTTGGGTTGCGTGCAGACAATGGCAAAATTGTGATGTACTTCCAAAGCAATAGGAAGGCCGACGTCTTGAAGGAAATCCGCAGAGCAAAGGCAATGTTAAGTAAAGATGCCAGGACGATAAAACCGTTCGAGCGTCTTATCCGACCTCAAGATGTCCCTGGAACATTGCTGAACCTTGCGTTGATAAATCTTGCTTCTCCGGATGCGATGCTCCGGATTGCATCGTATAATCTACTCGGCGCGCTATGTCGAGCTTTTAAGTTCAAGGCAGCCTCCATGTTCATGTGCACCAAAGGTAAGGCCCTCTCCAAGATTCTCTCGCCGTCTTCACTAACCATATTACGCAGACGTCTCCGTTCCTCTAGACCCTACTCAATTCATCGTCAACGTCAGCAAAGTCCTTGCCACAGAAGAACCTCAGCTAACAGGCGACTTCTTGAATGAATTCTTTGTCGGGTGGGAAAGCTTCTCCGATGAGCAGAAACCTTTGAGCTTGGCTTACATGGCGCCCTGGATACCAAGCCTGCGTACATCACTCTTATCGGACGAGTCTGACAGCGAGAAGGCCAAAGAAAAAGTCGCTTCGATCTTCCGCAAGTTGATAGATGTGACGGTCATGGAGCCTTCACTAGGTCTAATTTTGGAATACACAGCTTGGCCGGCGATTCACAAGGATGAAGTCTTACTAGACATCTTCCTCGACGAGATTGTCAAGGCAGCGCTAGCTGTGGGGTTATATGATGAGCAGACGCAAGCTTTAACGTCAATAGTGACAGCTATTGGCACAATAACGCTTCGTGGAAAGATAATATCCAGGCTTCGGAAGGCACTGAACAGATCCTCGCTTCGACCCACGAAATATCTCCCCGATAACTCCGTTTGGAATGAGCTTTGCATTCTACTCCAATTTTGCCTCTCCCTTTCCTTCGACTGTGGCGTTCAGTCGCAGACCTACCTACCTGAAATATTCCATATAGTGACTATGCTTTCAAACACGGGCACTCACGATATTCGAGCACTAGTCCACCGACTACTAATCAATTCAATCCATGCAGCTTGCACCTCATTCCAGCTAGAAGATACGAAGCTATTGAAACTCCGGGGTACCCTTGAAATCTTGTCCGAACCAAGAAACGATAGTCTCTCCGTTCCCTTGGTCGTAACCAAGGATGGAGCCTCTATCTCAACGTCTCACGAGGCCGGGCCGACGCTTGCGGTTATAGAGAACCTAGCTACTCTACTCTTTGAGACGTGTTCTGTTGCAGCACCATCTGTTGATATGGCTAACGCTTGGCGGTCAAGATGGATGAGTTTGGTAGCCAGCACTGCCTTTCAAAATAACCCAGCAATTCAGCCCCGAGCATTCACCGTAATGGGATGTTTGGCTCGCGAAGAGGTTGATGATGACTTGCTCTACCAGGTCCTCGTAGCACTCCGCAACAGTGTCGGCCGCTTTAGTGAAGACAACGGCAGCGACATGCTCGTTGCTATAGTCACATCGTTGTCTAAGATGATCGCGAAGCTCACTGCAGCCTCTCGATATGGGCCGCAACTGTTCTGGTTGGCGATGTCACTTGTCCGTCTTGTACCTGCTAGTCTGTTCAACTGTGCTGCCTTATTCCTAGAAGCTGTTCTGGCAAACATTGGGACGACAAGTGAATTGAGGAATAATAAAATGGCACAATATCTCTTACAAGGCCGAGCAACACTGGAAGAAGCGGCGATACCCCTAGATGAAGCGTACGGGATAAATTTCACGGCAGACAGTTTCCATTTCGCAGTCTGCGCCTGTCTCGCGCGAGGGCTTACCGACCCTATCACTAGAACTACGGCACTCCGGGTTCTCTCAACCTTCCTCGAGATGACAACAGGCAGCTCCGAGGATTCATCGAAGACCTTTACAACCGAATTCTACGCGTCACCATATCTAGCTCTCATTCATGCCCGGGCAATTACTCCTGAGGATTTAAAGGAATGCCTCTGGTCGGCGGGTATCAACCCATTAAACGTTGCTAATTTAGGGCCAACTCGCAACCTGCACGAGCTGGATAGCGTAAAGGACAAAGACCTTTTACTAAGCACGGCTATCGAGTTGGTCGATTTCCAGATCTTAGATGAGGCGATACAGACCCATACTCTAGCATGGCTGAATGACCTAGCATCCGGAAGACCTACCGTTGTATTGCATCTGTGAGTTCATTTAGCCCTTGCGTATTTATAAGTTACTAATATAGTATAGATGCCCAACCATCGCATCATTTCTGGACGAGGTGTTGCTCCATGGTCAAAACTCTTCGACACTTGAATCAGCGCACGCTCTGCTTCAGACACTATCCTCCAACCCAAAGTTTACAAGTGCGCTAGAAAGCGCCGGCATATTGCATGACATCTTAGAAGATTTAGGATTCGAAGGGCTTTATCGCTCGAGTTCCTTCACTTACGCTCAAGATCCGGACAAGCAGTGCTCTATATTGACCGAGAAGTTAATTGAGGTTCGTGATGTCCCCAGGTCAACATGAAAAGAGCATAAAGAATAAACCGCTAACGCATCAACTAGCTCATCATTATCTAAGACAGGGTAGCCACAGGAGCAGAGCAGTTTTTTTAAGTTGAATATTCAAGATCAGCATAACGAAAAAAAAAGTAAGGAAGCGTTTGCCATGAGCCGCTTAAAATACGAGCGCATACGCCCAAATTCGCCGGTACAGATATGGGCTGGAAAAGTAGGATTTAGATGGTAGGAAATGTAGAGAAATAAGCCAAGATAGGTAGGAGCAAATATTTAAAAAGATGTACCTATGCACGACAGTACATTTTACTCTATGTAGAACAAAATACGTCATTATCTGTTCTGGCTTCAAACCCCTGAATTGATATATGATATATGATATATGAATGATAGATGTCACGTGATGACGCGGTTGTATCTCTAACGCGTCGCGACTCATTTTATTCCAACAAATAATCACTTATACGCTTCACACTATGCGGCGCTCATTGCGAAGCACGCGACAGTCAGTCTCGATATTGGCGGACGAGGCTAATACACCAAAATTATTATCTGCTACAAAAGATGAAGAGCTGCTGAAAACTAATAGTCCTTCCCGAAAAACTAGGATTAGGAAGAGGACCGCCCAGCATCAGAGCGATGAAGAATTCGTTGAAGATAGCCCAGCAGAAGCACCGCGTGTCAAGAGGCAAAAGGTAAGGGCGCGTTCTAGTAAAAAGAATGGAGATGCTACCGCTCAGCTACATGCGTGCCTCTTCGGCAAACCGAACATGGCCTTAAACGGCTCTACTGCGGAAAGTGATGGTGATGGTATCAACCTCCCTAATCGTGCCCACGGACTATGTTATCACCGTCCTTTACTCCTAGACAACCGTCAGGCTCGCACATCTCTACTCACCTGGTTCGATGGCGTGAGCTCTTCGCGCGAGATGCCCTGGCGCAAACCCTGGACAGACCCAAGTACCACTACTCTCGAGGAAGTCGAGCGCCGCGCGTACCAGGTCTGGATCAGCGAGATCATGCTCCAGCAGACGCGCGTCGCCACCGTCGTCGACTATTGGAACCGCTGGATGGAACGATGGCCCACGATCCAAGACTTGGCGGCGGCGGAGCAGGACGAAGTGCTTTCGGCCTGGCGTGGGCTCGGATACTATAGCCGTGCTACGAGAATCCACAACGCGGCGAGGATCGTGTGTAAGGATTCTGGTATGAAGGGCTTGTTGCCGGCAGATGTAGGCGAGCTGGTTGCAAAAGTGCCCGGCGTCGGGAGGTACACAGCGGGGGCTATCTCAGCGATTGTCTTTGGGAGGGCAGCGCCGATGGTGGATGGGAACGTGCTGCGTGTGCTCAGTCGGCAACTTGGCGTGTTTGGGGATGTTAAGGCGGATAAGGCAGTTATTGAGCTGCTGTGGGCGGCGGCTGACAGCCTGGTTAAGGCTATTGCAGGAGATGACCCAGAAGACCCAGAAGACCCAGAAGATGGGGGTGATGTTGATTCCAATGCTACTACTAAGAGGGAAGAAGACGAGGAAGCGGCACCGAGTAATAGGCCTGGTCGCTGGGGTCAAGCGTTGATGGAACTCGGCAGCACGATATGTGCACCAAAGCCCAACTGCGCAGTATGTCCCATTACATCGAGCTGTCGCGCGTACGACGAGGGTATTCGGTTAGCTACTAAAAGGGGTTTGGTATCCAAGCCTACGGCGCCGAGTCATGCTACTCTTGATATTGAAGATGCTTGCATACTTTGCAAACCGTTCGAAGAGTATGTAGAGGAAGACAGCAACGACAACGAACAGAACGTAAAGACGGAGGAGGTGTCGAAGCAGCAGAGGTCTAAATCTCGCACACAGACTACGTTGCGATCGTTCGCATTCACACAAGTCACGTCCAAACGGAAAATTACATCTAGTCCTGAGCCGCCGCCATCTCCGGCTCTCAGTAGTGCCGCGGTAGAAGCCGTCGTAAGCCACGCAAGAAAGTTCCCACTCAAGACGGTCAAGAAAGCCGTGCGCGAAGAGGAAACTCTGGTCTGTGCTATCCGGCGCAGCGATGGTCGGTATTTGATTCATAAGAGGCCTGAGAAGGGGCTCTTAGCTGGGCTGTGGGAGCTGCCGAGTTATATTGTGAAGGATCCGCAAGGAGGGTCGGCAAAAACTAGGAAGAGGGATGCGGAGAAGTTTGTTCGGGGGTTGATTAGTGAGAGTGTGAAGGCAAGGAAGAGGAAGGTCGTGGTGAAGCATGTAGATGAGTTGGGATCCGTACCGTGGCTGTTTTCGCATTTGAAGTTGACGATGCATGTTCATCTGTTTGAACTTGAGGATGAGGGTGAGGATAGTGATGAAGAGGGGCCCAAAGAAGATAGAGAGACGCGGAGCCGGTGGAGCGATGTTGAAGCTCTTGATGCGGAGTCGATGGGGACGGGTATGCGGAAGTGTTGGGCGTTGGTTAAGGAGGTTGATTAGGGGGTTGAAGAATACCAAAGTCTAATAGGAACATAACCAATATACGTCAAACAGTAAAATGTTTTAATTGAAAATACCTAGCCCCTTAAGACTATTTAATTCATACCATGGAATCTTGTTTGAACTAGATATTACGTTAACGGATAGAAAAGATGTCGTATATCTCTATTCGATACTTAAATCTACCATCGTGGAAAAATGTGGGTAGATAAAAAGCTTGGAATACCCTCACCCTACGAAGAGCGCCGGGCTTTACTCCCACATTAGTGTATAACAACACCACAACAGCCGTTTCATGTGTATATTTCTTATATGATTTTGAATAAAAGCACAGGTGGAAAAAGGTGTTTATAAAAAAAAAATTTTTAAAAAACTATATTAAAAGAATTAAAAAAAAAAAAAAAAAAAAAAAAAAATACAACACCAGGGATTCGCTGGTCGTCACCGACCCAACAACTAAACCGGCGGTATCTGGTTTATCGATGGGAG